ACATCTCTTGCACTCCAATATATTCTTGAGCTATATTCATCCTTTGCTTCATCTTCCTCATCAAAATATTATTTTTGAGAGTTAGAAATATTTTCTTTGAGTGCTAAAGAAGTTGTCATCCATAGAGCTTTAACTCTTCAACACTACTTTGCTCAATTGTGTGAAGCTTTCATTCTTGTGTTGTAAACTCAATCTCTTTTGAGTGTTGTTCTTAAGACTTGTGTGACTCAAGTCTTGTTGTTGTAAGAAAGTGAGGCTTGTGTGATTCAAGTTCTCAAGTTGTACCAATTTTTCAAGCACCCGTTGAAGCTTGAAGATTAGTAGGACTTTCGAGAGAGTCTCTCGGAGGATTGGACTAGCCACGAGGTGGTGAACCAGTATAAATCTCGGTGTTCTTCTTTCCCTTACTCTCTTTATTTATTCCTGCGATTTTATTATTTCGCACATGCGAAAAACGCACATTCTTGAAAACAACTCTATTCACCCCCTCTAGAGTTGCAGATTTGTCTAACAATATAGAGGTCCCACTTGGTCTCCCCGTAGATGGCACCCCTGTTGTTGGTTCGCGTGGCAACACGAATGAGTATTGGGCCCAATTGTGTGCAGAAATGAGTTTAGGCCATCTTTAGAAGACTTGCGCAAGACGCAGATCAGAATGAATGCAATCGTACTCATTCCTGTTGGTGATCATAGCACGAAGGTTGGCTTTTTGCAGCATGCTCGGGCCTTGATGTTGAAGATTATGGGTGGTGCTCTGTTCTCTAGCACGACGGGTAACAAGGTGATCTTTTGCCTTTTGGAGTTGCTCGCTGGCACGGCCCAAGATGTGCGAAGTTGCGCTCGCTGGAGTTCCTATATTCATTTCGATGCTTTTGTACTTAATGATATCTTACCCAACACAACTAAAAATCCTGCACCTAACATTCCACCTAAAAATAAAATATCTAACCTAACACAAGTCCTGCACCTAACCATTCACTTAACACTACTAAACATCCTACACAATTCAATCCACCTAACAAAAAATTTCACCTAACACCACTAAAGATCCTACGCCATTCAATCCACCTAACAATAAAATATCTCATCTATATATTTGGTGCTTAACTCTCAGAATCTCACCACCAAACTTTACGCTCACATATCTGCTCTTTTCTCTTTCTTACAAAAAAATGGCCTCTGATGGTAGTTTTATATTGCTAGCCCATTGGAATGGTGAGATAATTATCAAGAACAATGAGGTGGAGTACTCATTGCATTCAAACAAAGCCTTTGTCTTTGATCTTAATGTGTCATTCGAGGAGGTCTTCAATGAACTCCTTGATGCTATTGGTGAAGATAATCTCAATTCAATCAAGAGAATTTGGGGAAAATATCTCACATACAAGGATCGAGTATATGCTGGTTCATGCCTTTTCCCCATTTCCGAGGAGCGAACATGGAGGTGTTTTGTTCAAAAGGCAACTAAGCAATATGATGAACTTGAGGTGTATCTAGATGCACACCAAGTTGAGGTCCAGGCTCACGAGGAAGAAGAAATAGCCGCATCCCAGGAGAAGGAAATGGAGGAAGAGCAAAACCACCACCACCAAGAACAATAAAGTTGGGGAACCCATCAATTTTCATGTGATGAGGCGGGACCGTCTAACACGGCATAGCACATGGATGATGAAGATGACTCTAATGATCCTACATACGTTGGTAATTTAGATCATGAGAGTTCTTTTGATGAGTCTTAAGTATCTGGCTGCATGATACATCAAGTCCTTCAGCTTTTTCTATTGAACTTCTACTCGAAATTCCTTCTCAAGTGGCGCAGGTAATATCTCTTGGTGACACGCTGTTCCATTAACTAAGGGAATTGTATTGAAAGCTACATCAATGCCCTTGTGCCTTTCAAAAATAATGCACACCGACTTATCGACAGGTACTACATAGCGCATTAAATGCATCATGAACAACCTCCAACTATCCCCGTCTTCTTTGTCAACAAGGGAATAAGCTAAGAGTTAAATATCGTGATTTCCTTTCATTGTTACTGCTAGCAACAATACTCCCTCATATTTTTAATACAAGTGGGTGCCATCAACAGAGATCACGAGAAAACAATACTTGAACCCATCAATAGATGCTTTGGAAGACAAGAAAACGTACATAAATTGAAATGTTTTGGACGTTTTTGTTGACCGCATTTGTATCTCGGCCACTGACCCAAAATTGCTTTGAATCAACGCTGCTAGTATAGGCAAAAGCTTGTTATACGAATCCTACCAGGATCCGAACAGTCGTTGAATGGCACTCGACTTAGCCAACCAACATTTCTTATACGTTATACAAACTTGAAATAAGTCGTAAATATCTTTAATGATGTACCTCACCTTGTAATCACCATCAGCCGCAACTTTTGAGAACATAATTTCTGAAATGAGCTTGCTTATAATAGACTTATCATCCTTCTCCTTAGAAAAGTCAGGTCTACATAAATGTTGACTTTTATATTTTTTAACAGTCCAAACAGAAGCATGCTCTACAGCCAGGACGAGCCATGGGCACTGTTTCGGATACGAGCACTTTGCCCGCCAATAATTACGACGCTTTGACAAAGTATGGAAATGTCTATGCTCCGCAATACTGTGTAGTGCCACCGCAAATTGAAGGCTTTTGAAATTACCATAATGATATCCAATCTGAATTTCAGGGATACAAAACATTGGTTGTAGTGAGACTTCTTCAACGTGCCTATGAATCAAAATATTTGGAATTGCCTGTTCAACATCGACAGAATTAACAATGTTAATAGGGTCCTCTGTGTACACGTCCGGTGTGTACATAGAGACCCATCCAGATACTTAAGACTCATCTGAAGAACTCTCATGATCTAAATTACCAATGAACGTAGGATCATCAGAGTCATCTTCATCATCCATGTGTTGTACCGTGTTAGACGGTCCCGCCTCATCACATGAAAATTGATGTGTTCCCCAACTTTGTTGTTCTTGGTGGTGGTGGTGAACTTGGTGGTGGTTTTGCTCTTGTTCCATTTCCTCTTCCTCGGATGCAACTATTTCCTCTTTCTCGTGAGCCTGGACTTCAACTTTGTGTGATTTAGGTACACCTCAAGTTTATCATATTGCTTAGTTGCTTTTTGAACAAAACACCTTCATGTTCGCTCCTCGGAAATGGGGAAAGGGCGTGAAGCGGCATATACCCGATCCTTGTATTTGGGATATTTTCCCCAAATTCTCTTGATTGAATTGAGATTATCATCACCAATAGCATCGAGGAGTTCATTGAATACCTCCTCAAATGACACATCAAGATCAAAGACAAAGGCTTTGTTTGAATGCAATAAGTACTCCACCTCATTGTTCTTGATAATTATCTCACCGTTCCAATGGGCTAGCAATATAAAACTACCATCAGAGGCCATTTTTTTGTAAGAAAGAGAAATGAGCAGATATGTGAGAGTAAAGTTTGGTGGTGAGATTCTGAGAGTTAAGCACCAAATATATAGATGAGATATTTTATTGTTAGGTGGATTGAATGGCGTAAGATCTTTAGTGGTGTTAGGTGAGATTTCTTGTTAGGTGGATTGAATTGTGTAGGATGTTTAGTGGTGTTAGGTAAGATGCTTTATTGTTAGGTGGATGGTTAGGTGCAGGAATTTTAGTTGTGTTAGGTTAGATATTTTATTGTTAGGTGGATTGTTAGGTGCAAGATTTTTAGTTGTGTTAAGTGAGATATCATAATGTACAAAAGCATCCAAATGAATACAAAAACTCCATCGAGTGCAACTCCGCACATCTTGCGCCGTGCTAGCGAGAAACTCCAAAAGGCACAAGTTCACCTTGTTACCCGTCATGCTAGAGAACAGAGCACCACCCATAATCTTCAACATCAAGATCGAGCATGCTGCAAAAAGTCGACCTCCACGTTATGATCACCAACAATCACATTCATTCTGATCTGCGTCTTGCTCAAGTCTTTTAAAGATGGCCTAAACCCCATCATATCTGCACACAAGTGCTCCCAATACTCTTTCGTGTTGCCACACGAACCAACAATAGGGGTGCCATTTACGGAGAGACCAAGTAGGACCTCTACATGCCATAATGTTATCGCAACCTCTCCGAACGGAAGATGAAAGACATGGGTCTCTGGCCTCCATCTCTCGAGTAAGGCAGTAATCAAAGTCCAATCGATTTGTAACTTAGCAATCCTTTCTACCCTGTAAAATCCATAATCACGCAAATTCTCCACAACTCATGGATGACGCTCCACACCAAACCTTTCCCTTAAGCTACCAAACAATTTCACACATTTCACCGACACGTCTCCAAACTCACAGTCTTGCCACACCCTATCACAACAATGTTTGCCGGGTGCCAAGTCTAGGACATCGCAAACCATTGGTCCCGGATGGACATTCGTTCTTTGAAGATTCATTATTCTACAAAATTAAAATTTTTAGTCTATGAATATGACAAATCAAAAATATGTAATGCACTACGAAAAATCTACAAATATATCACAATAAAATTGTTAGTTACTTCGACATATGTTTTCAGGTATCTCATAAACATTTCAATTTTCTAAATTCTCAACATAGATCTAATGTAATTAGCTAATAATTAGCTAATATAAGTTTAAATTAGATATTTTTGAAATAAATTTAAAAACATGATAGAAAGAGTACCATTAACTGACGAACAATGACAGACGGAGGGCGGTTAGCGAGAGACGGCTGGGGCGCTGTTCTCTCTTTGGTTCTCGTAGCCTGCTTTGAGTGTGTAAAAATGGGGCTTGAATGGGGTTTGGATGGGAGAAGATGGATGGTCGACCACCCGTAATGAATTTTTTTTTCGCTTAACGATATAGGTTGTACCATTAACCTCTGATTTACTTCGACAGACACTAAATAGGAATGCTTTTGTGTTTCCCTCACTGATCGGGAATTAAATCTACATCTAAAGTACCCTCGCAAATCCCAAAAAATACTATAGTCAAGTTCATAACATACTACCTCCGTCCCACTGTCTTTATCCACTTTTGACTTTTGGAACTGTTCATCTAAGCACTTTGACTCATCAAGTTCTCTCAATGTGTAAGACTAAATATAGTCATGTGTGATCTTGTTTGATTTGTCTTAACATATAGATTATTAATATATAATTTCTAGAATTTTTTAATATAGAAATTACAAGATAAAATGGATTAAAAGAGTGCATTAGATGGTGTGTTATATGTATTTAGGACCATGCTACACTTACACCAAAAAAATATACCCCATTTGTACACCACAGGCTTGCACAAACATTTCGATGGTTTACACCGACACAAATGTTGGTGCGTTAATAAATATTCACACGGACACAAATGTTGGTGCGTTTAACAAAAATTAGTTTTACACCAATACAAAGTGTTGGTGCAAAACTGCGGGGTACAAATTAGGGTACAAACCTTGGGGTACACATACCATAATCCATGTATTTATTATTGATGTGGCGCATTGTAGTACATAAAAATAAGGGAATGCTCCCTACACTCACCCAACTCCTAACCGTTTAGTTATTGCTGCCCAACAACTACGGAACTGCTCACTCCCAAATCCAATTTACCGTAAATTAATTAATCGGCCACCTTCATCCGCCGCACACGGCGGCGTTTCAACTGGTAGCGCGATTGGCTCTTGTCGTCAGCCACTCCACGACGTCTCCGAAAACGCGCTCCACGTCCTCCTCCCGCTCGCCCACCAGCTGGTGCCACATGCCGGGATATATTTTCAGAGTCTTGTCCTTGCTGGCGGCGCGTCTGTGCAGCTCCTCCACGCACCCCGGGTCGCAGACTACGTCTTCCGCTCCGTGGATGATCAGGAACGGGACATCCACTTCCTCGAACCTCGATTGCAAATCCCGGCACACTCTTAGCAACTCACGCGCCGTCGCTGCCCGAGGCCTCGCCACTGTCCTTCTAGGGCTTGCAATCGCCAGCTTCCTCTTCCATTCCTCCTGAAATTGGAGACGTGAGTTTTTTGAGGAGACAATACAATACTCTTATACCGGTGAAATTTAGACGGATTTATAATTCTAACGAGGAAAAGTAGTCGGACCTTAAACGAAACGGCGGGGATGGAGCCGCGCGTCGGAACAACGCGCCAGGTCGGTATGAGGAAGGCGGCGATGTCCAGAAAATGCTCCAACGGCCACGGGGGCTTGAACTTATCGCTGATTCCGCACATCGCCCCGTTCAAAACGACGCCGTCAAAGGGGCGTTTGGGCGCGGAATCGCCGCGGCGGAGGGTTATGAGTAGAGCAATCGCGCCGCCAAGGGATTCGGCGTAGAGGAACGACGGCAGATCCGGCGGCACGTGGCGGTCGCGGAAGGAGTCGAAGAAGGATATACAGTCGTCGACGACGGGATCGACGTCCGGTATGTGAGCGACGAGGCCGTCGGAGTAGCCGTGGCCCTGGTGGTCGATGGCGCAGACTGCAAACCCTTGCTTGGCGATGTGGACGGCGGTGAGCTGGAGCATCCAGCTGGATTCGCCGGTGAAGCCGTGGACGGCACAGACGACGCCGATTACCTTCGCGGGAGGGAGAGGGGCCCACCACTGGGTGAATAGCTTGAGACCGCGAGTATTGGTGATGAACTCGGTGCCGTGACTCACCGAGTGGCGCGAGTAGAACTCGTCCGGGCTCAAGGACCCAAAGGGGCTCTCTTCGTTGGCCTCCGCCACCGGATGCTTCGCACAGTCTTTCATCTCCGGCGAGCGTTAAAAATGGCGAGATCAGAGGAAAGGAAATAGGATTATAAGGAAAAGAAGTGGTGTTTAGGTGGTTCGCCGTTGGAGGGAGTGAATGAATTGCCAATCCTCTCTCTCTCTCTATCTACTCTCTCACTACTCCCCCACCACTCTCTTTGAGTCTTTGGTCAGTTTGGTGAGTGGTGAAATTCTTGCCACCTCCTCAATTTAATTTGGGGTTTGCAAGGTAACCAAATTCGTATGAATTACTTCTCAGTAATATTTGCTTTCTGCTCCTACTTAAAACTTCTACTTTTTCAATAATCTACAACACTTCCAAACACCCTCATAGACCAGCTTCTCATAGACACCAATTGTCTGCGTTTTACACAGATAATGAATGTCTGTATTTGTCTCTAAGAAATTGGTGTATATCAAAAAAACACTAACATAGGGTACTTCTGTGTTTTTCCATATACTCCCTCCGTCCACCTAAATGACTAGTAAAAATGAGCAAACAAAGTAAGTAAAGTTTGACCCTGTGAATAGTATCTGGGAAGATCTATGGTGGACAGAGGGAGTAATATATTTAACATGTTTAGCGTTGTTTGTTGTTCGATTATGCCAAATTTTTACGTGGTCTTAAGATTAATACATATTTTCGGCTTTAATATATAGATATTATAAAAGAATTGAGCCTTTTGTAAAAAAAGGAAGCACGAAAAATGAGATAATGTTCACGCTTTACATGTAGGCTTTAGGACCACGGAAGAAAAAATGTTGATTGAAATCATTTCAATTTTATTTATTTAAAAATTGATGTCAGATTAAAAATAAAAATCATATATTAAAAAACTATATAAAAAGATTAATTTATTAAGAAGTGACATGTTAATATTTTTTTTCAAATGAGTAACAAAAATAAAAAAAATTGACTACATAAATAATACCGGGTAATATACAATTTAAATTGGAACGGAGAAATAACTTAAAATAAGGTTTCTATATAGTAGAATTTAGGATGAGATGTTTGGTCATGTGAAGGAGCCTAGTGTTGAGACTGGCATGTCAAGATGTGAGAAGCTTATAATAGTAGGTGGAGGTGGGTGTAGAGATATACTCTAGAAGTTTTGGAAGGAGTTATTGGGCAGACCTTAAAACTTTTGGGACTTACCAATATACAACCTTATTTTTTCTTCTCTTGTTGTGCATTTTTTACGTTTCGTTTTTCTATCTTTTTACACTTATATTATAATTGTTTGCTTTTGTGATCTTGTTGTCGTTGAGCCGGGTATCTCTTGAAACAGCCTCTCTACAAACCCACATTTCATGGGATTTTACTGGATTATTGTTGTAGAATTTAAGAAAAGATAATAATGTCTAAATTTAGGGCATAAGACATTTAAGTTAAAATATACTCTTGTGTTTCTTAAAACACTTTCTCTTTCGTGTTCTTCACTATCCCCAAAACGCTTTTACTTTCAATTTAAAAAACCACTTTTACTTCTACTTTTTCCTATCCAATCTATCACATACCGGAGTAATATTTTTTCACTAATAACTTACACATCACATCTTACTTTTATTATCACATGAAGGACAAAATTGGAAATTCAATCATATTTATACATTCCTTATTTTGCCACAAAGTCAAAATAGGAACACTTTAACGAAAAGAAGGAATCATTAAAAGATTGAAATCAATCGATTAATTAGTCTAATTCAAGAACATATATATATACCCATCATTTCTTTTGAAATTTCTAATGTGAGATACTTTTAACACTTTATAGTAAAAAGAGCATATTTCATATGATTATTTTTCAGCTATGCGTCAATTTTATGGTGCAATTTCACTTTTTTTTTCTTACTCTATGGAAAACAAATTCGAACTTAATTATGGTACGGAAAGATGCATGTCCAAGAGTACAATGAAATCCTCTATATATGCGGCTTTGAGCCCGGACGATTCACCAATTAGCATTGCCTCATAAAGAGAGCACAATTCGACGATTCTCACGTTTGAACCAAACAAACACCCCAAACATTTCATTCATCCATTCAAGAAACCAGAGCAAAATCCATGTCGGCGTGAGAGGAAACAAATATTAATACGACGAACCGACTTTCGTCATCGGATCTTAAAAAAATAAATTAAATGTGGCCTTCGAATCAGAGAGGAAGAGGGGCAGCCGCCACCACGACGAATGGGCTGGTGGCGATCGCCATCGACAAGGACAAAGGAAGCCAATCTGCACTCAGGTGGACAACCGAAAATTTGATCTCGAAGGGCCAAACGCTCGTCCTCATCCACGTCGTCCACAAGACGTTGTGTATGGCCCGCCTCCTCTATGTGTTTTGTAATGAATACTATCTTTGTCCCGCTGTATTCGTCTAATTTGACTTTTTCCAATCAAATTGAACAAATTTTGATCTTCAATTAAAGGAAAAATTCATGTCAATACTCTCAGAAATTTGAAATTTTACACGTTCTCCACGAATATGTAATTGTTTCAAGCGCTCCCAAGAAGGCAAGAACTCAATATTTTTACAATAATACTCCAAGAGAATTTTTAGTTTTCATGGATCTCCCGATTTTGTAGGCATATTTGTAGTGAATATGCGATCTTGGAGTACTATTGTGACTATTAAGTTTGTGAGCGCGCTGGTTATAATTATGCAATATTCTTGGATACATGTAAAATCTCATATTTCTCGGAGTATTGGCATGAATTTCAATGCATATGAAAAAAAATAATGATTTTATACGAACTATCTTGCAAAATAGCTTCTGACAAAACATTTCATTCTATCCACGTGCAATGGGAGTTCAAAGATCAAAATTTGTCTGGTTTGACCGAGAAAGATCAAACGAGACAAATACATTTGGAGGGAATGGAGTATCACATATATACTTAAGTTAACAGCTAAATGTTTTTACCATTGCCATATTCATCTGCACGGACAGTTGGAGCTGGTGCGGCTATTCATGACGCCACATCCTACCGCGAGCAGCTTGAGAAACACACAAAGGATTTGTTTTCCATATTCCACGTCTTCTGCACACGAAAAGACGTAAAGTTTTTAGATCATCACATTCTTTTTTGAATTTGATTATTATTATTATTATTGTTGTTGTTATTATTATTATTATTATTATTATTATTATTATAACATCCCAGAGTTTCACAATAATGTGTGTTTGTGCAGATACATGCATTGGATGTGGTGCTGGAAGACACAGACATAGCAAAAGCTTTGAATGAATATGTGTCTAGTGCTGCAATTGAGAACTTGGTTCTTGGTGCTTCAAAGCATGGATTTCTCAAGTTCAGTCCAATCTTTATATATACTTCAAAAACTTAATTACTTGATTAATACATCTAATGCATGATGGGAAGACCTGCCAAATTTTGTCCGGATCCTAAAATGTTGGGTTTTGAACAAGTTTTTTGTGACTAGAACCCTATCCCGTTGAAGCAATTTTTTTTCCAGAGCCAAAATGATGCAATTTAAAATGAACTATTAAAGCGACAACCATATTTTCATACTTATTTTCTTATGACACCTGCCATTTGAGGGCCCTGGATGATCCGTTGAACTCGAAGTGGCTCCTATCTCCCCTAACTCTAGCCCTTGGATCACCGATAAGCATATCAGTGACCCAAAGAATTAGGAGGTAGGAACTACTACGGGGTCCAACAGAGCATCCTAGCACCCGGAGTCATATTATGACACCCAAAACGGGTGTAAAATTTAGTAACATTTTATTCTCGTTTTAGTCTTCGACGTTTTTATATTCTTCATAGTTGTATAGTCTCTCTATAGTACTCCAGGTAATTATTTAGTTTTAATCTAAAAAAGCTAATTGGGACTGGAATGACCTGAACCCGAGAGAACCGAACTCGACCTGAACTGACGTGTTAAACGGCTCAATTGATGGATAATTTTTGTGGTTCACATACACAGGAGGCTTAAGGTTATGGACGTTCCAACAACAGTAACAAAACGGGCACCCGATTTCTGTACGGTTTATGTCATTTCGAAATCCAAAATCTCGACCGTACGAAACGCTTCTCGACCAGCCCCCTTCATTTCTCCCCTCTACAGCCAAATCCATCAGAAAAACGAGCAACTCCAGCACACCAACACCAACAACAAAATCAAAGCTGCCAATGTCTGCAAACCTAAGAGCTTTTCTCCCAAGACGCGTCACAGACACACTCCCACTTTCAATGGTACATTACCCACACTGTGAGTGAGCTTCAGAGTTCACACTTATTGTATAAATCGGTTCAAACGGTTGGTTTCCGTGGGTGCAGATAAGCTTGGAGCATTTGATAAGTCCCAACGCATCTCTTTCACGTATAACAATGAAATGGAACCATCATTCAGGTAAAAAATCCAAAATGAAGTTTCACTCAAAAAACCAGTTGGCAATAGGAGGGAGTAGTCCATTGAGGTTTGAATTATATACACAGGTCGCCGCTCGAGAAAGGGAGAGGCACCAATGGGAGAGGGGACCTTTCAGAGTCAGACACGGATATTTCATTTGTGAGTTCCGGTCGACCTAGCACTGACCGGAGTCCCATGTTTTGTGATGGAATGGAGTCCGGGCGCACGTCTCGGTTATCCACTAGCTCAGAGAGCAGCTATGGATCGTCCGACCGCTTCGGATCCAAGGCCAGCGACACAAGTTCTTTCACCGACATTTCATCTACTACTTGCCTTGACAACGTAAGGCAATTTTTTATTTTTAAAGGGTCATGTTACAGTGACACCACTGTGTCACACACAGTTGGTGTTATATACTTAGTGTCATTCACCTCTGGTGTCAAAGTAGCATTTTCTTTAAAAACACACTTTAGTAACTTAGTTACAACGATTATAATAGCTTGCCTTATGAATGTGAATCGGAAACAAACAGGATGACGCCGAAATGAGAAGGCTAAAACAAGAATTGCAGAAGATGATGGACTTGTATAGCACTGCTTGCAAGGAGGCCTTGACAGCAAAGCAGAAGGTAACAAATAGTTAAGATCAAGTTGCTAGTTATATGGATTAGGGCTGTTTGGTAATGTTGATGACATGTTATATTAGGCAACCGAGCTACAACTATGGCGAATCGAAGAGGAGAAAAAATTGGAAGAAGATGAGATCTCAGACGACATGTCGCATGGGAAGGCCAAGTCATGGACAAGCACGGAGGGCACAACAGACTCAATGAAAAGGAGAAGTGACGATGAAACAAGAATCGAAGAGGAGAATGAGAGTTTTCGGATTGGATTGAGATACAGAAGGTTGGTTAATATGAGAGCCGTGTCACCTAAAACTACAAAATAATATACCATATATTTATTGCGTGTATTGTATATTTGAATATATATATCGACTCCAAGGTACACTATTGACGAAATCGATGAAGCTACAGAGCACTTCTCGGAGTCCAGAAAGATTGGAGAAGGAGGGTATGGCCCTGTCTTCAAATGCTTGCTTGATCACACTCCAGTTGCTGTTAAGGTGTTGCGTCCAGACGCTGCACAAGGAAGGTCACAGTTCCTCAAGGAGGTATAACAAGTTGTCAACATAACCATTAGATGACACCGCCAGTCTCACCGACAATGAATGATTTTTCGGACCAAAGACAAAGACACTCATTGTCTATGCGAGATTGTATCTGGTGGTGTCAACTGTGATGTCGTCCTTAGGGGGGGGGGAGGGTTAAAGTATTGTTATCGTGTCTGAAATTTGCATATATGTACCCATTGTTGGTCTTGTTGAAACAGATTGAGGTGCTAAGCTGCCTGCGCCATCCAAACATGGTGATGCTGCTGGGTGCTTGTCCGGAGTACGGCTGTCTGGTCTACGACTACATGTCTAATGGAAGCTTAGAGGAACGGCTCATGAAAAGGGGAGACAAACCCGCACTGTCATGGCAAGTGAGGTTCCGGATTGCGGCGGAGGTCGCCACCGGTCTGATGTTCCTCCACCAGACCAAGCCGGAGCCAGTGGTGCACCGCGACCTCAAGCCGGCGAACATTCTCCTAGACGAGTACTACGTGAGCAAGATCGGAGACGTGGGGCTGGCCCGGCTGGTCCCAGCAGCGGCGGCGGACGACGTCACCCAGTTGAGGATGACGTCAGCGGCCGGGACATTCTGTTACATTGACCCGGAGTATCAGCAGACAGGGATGCTCGGGGTGAAGTCGGACGTTTATTCCTTCGGGATTGTGCTTCTGCAGCTGCTGACGGCCAAGCCGGCGATGGGGATAGCGCATCGGGTGTCGGATGCCGTAGAGAAGGGGAAATTTGAAGATGTTTTGGATCCGGTGGTTACGAACTGGCCGGTCGAAGAGGCCTTGACCATGGCCAAGATTGGCATGCAGTGTTCCCAGCTGCGGCGCAAGGACCGGCCAGATTTAGGAAAGCAAGTCTTGCCAGAGCTCCTCAGATTGAAGGAATTAGCAGATCAGAGTATTGGCCAATTCATGGTGGTTGGGGGTTCATGATGAGCGGTGTACATCAACAATGCATACATGATTCGGCAGCATTTTACAAGTTATCGGCCTTATTTAGGCCTTGTTTGTTTTGCGGCATTTTGTCCATCGAGATGCTGCTCAAAGCTGTGTTTCTTGGTTTAAAAAGTCGTCATCTTGGGTAAAATGCCAACTTAACAAACGCATCCTTGGCTGCGGTAATTCTTTCTTTTGTACATACAAAACAGAATGAGCCGGGCCTGTATATATGTATATGTATATGATGATTGAGAAAAGTCTACTCTGTATTTGAAGATCACAAATGAAATGGAAAGAAAAGCTATTATTTCATTTTTTATTTACTCCAATTCATCTTTCTCATCTCTTTTTTCATTGAACTCTAAGCCTCCTTTGTTGAACTAGACACAAAGCACAAATAAAGTAAACATAACACTAGAGCCAAAGCACAAGAAGCACATATGCACAGGCTACAAACTTAGCCAACAAGGCAAAAAACACATGCAAAAGCAAAAACTACAAACTAAGATCCAAAGGTCGACCCAACTACTCCAATCCTAGCTCTCCAAAAGGTCCTATTTAAAGTCAATATCCTTGATATGGTACTGAAGTCGTAAGTCCTATCTAATCACCTTTGTTCAGAGCTCTTCTCCTACTCTTGACATGCCCAAACCACCTCGCCACACACTATGTAGTTCATGTCATTTTAAGAGTATATTTTTGTTTTACTTTGTAAGATATTATTATGTTATCCTACATTCATAGCATTAGAAGCTACAAGACTCATTTTTGTTTATCTTCGGGTAAATAATGGACTAGATCAAAATGGCACATTAAACTTTCCTTGCTCCTTACTTTCTATGAAGTTTTAGGCAGTAAAGTTGCGTACCCAAGACCCCAATGAAGTTGAGACTATACCGGGTATGCTATAGTTGTTGGATCCTACATTCATAACACAGTGTATAAAATACCATGGGAATTCACAAGTATACCAAAAGGCAATGAAAAATGCATAATGAAAATGAACATACCGGTAGAAAATATACGGCTCTTGACATCTATGAAGGACGAGAAATTGAAAACGCATGTTCTACCCTCAGCGTGAGAATAAGAAATGCAGAAATAGAGATGCAGAGTGAGGCAAGCATGATCACCAGCATTGCATGCAACGAGATGAGTGGGTTCAAGAAGAAGACGACTGCAACTGAAAAGCTCTGCCAAAGCTTGAGATGAGCAAATGCTCCTTCCTGTTATTAAAAGTTGATAACAATTCAAAATCCTGTTACATCTTTGAACCACAGTTTGATAGTCAACATGAAATTGGGATTCGCTTACATGTGAGGATATCCAATGTTATATACCGTTTCTTGAAATAAAATCATTCATTAAGAAACCACTTATTACTATTCGGTTAATTTGACTTTAACTTTTAACACAGTAAATATTACCCCATGTAAATATTTATGCACTAAAGTCCCATTCTTTACTTCCATTGCCATTGCAGCTAAAAGAACCCCTTTTGGCAAAGTTTTGGCATTTAGGTTAATAAAGGACTGAATCAAAATAAAACATAAATTTCTCTCTTTTTTTTAACTTTCTATGAAATTTTGGGCAGTAAATGCATCAAGGGTCTAATGAAACAGCCTTTCTGTTTTATAACAGGATAAGTTTGCGTACATCCCCCCCCCAAATACCCCAATAGAGTGGGGATTATCCTGGGTTTCCTGTTATTGTTGTTGTGAGATCCCATTCGTGAGAGAGAGAGAGAGAGAGAGAGAGAAGATTACAAATAGTGGAGTCACTCGTTCATTCGTTTGATTCCAAAGGGCCAAGAGAGGGACTTGATAAAAAGATATGATATTATTGCAGCATTTCGCTTCACATTACTAATATTTTTTAGAGGCAAACGGAGAGTCTACATAGTATAGGTGTAGAATAAGCAAGAATAGGGGGCCGTTTGGGTATGTTACCTCGATGAAATGGCTGAATCTGCAAGATTTTTTGAAGGAAAAGTGTTCGCTCATTTGGTAACCGTTCCAACCCAATAAGTTAGAAGCTACTTATCCTACTTATACCAAAAAAAAGCCTAAAAACCACTCATCTAAGAAGTATTACCAAATTATCATTGTAGAGAATCCCAAGAAAAGCACTCAATTGGGTATTGAGTACTCCATCTCCGATGCCCCACATAGAAGCTATTATAAGAACACGAACTACTCCATAATCCACACTACAATTGGAGAAAACAAGATTATAAATAAACCACCACATCAGATGTGATGTCACCAAGAACAGAAGATAGTAAAAACTAAAAGCCAATTTCCACCAACCTGTGATTCAGCAGAATCCACAGCAACACAAAAGCTTGTATTATACCTCCACCACAAACTATTACCGTGATTGATTTAAGACCAAAGGTGAGACGTCCAACAGCTGCCGAACACTGAGACAAAGTTCATACTTCTTACATAGTTTAATCCCATTTGATTTGAAGTGGCAACATAGTTACGATGACACCATATGAGCATAACTTACAATTGCATCAAAGAGTCCATAAATGGCCATTGCCCCACCAACTCCACTCTCTCCCATTTTAGGTTGTACAATATACTTGGTAAATTCAGCCCTGAAACATACAGAGCATGAAATAAAAATAAAAAAGTTCATAGACTGGCAGCATGAAAGAGTCCCTCATAATTTAAAAATGTCTTGTTTGGTCAAGGTACAACATTATAATTTTTTCCAATGTACACCGGTTAATAGTCGTGGAATCTACTTAAATTTTTAAAATTTATACGTTGGTTTAACAAAATTTATCATATTCCCTTTGTCCCACTCTTTTGTCCCTTTTAACTTTTTTGTTCATCCCACTAATTTTGTCTCATGCCATATTTGGTAACATTTGTGAGAGTTACATCCATGCATACATTTCATACTTTTAAATTTTAATATCAAGCACACAATTTTACTTTTCTTAATTTGTGTGACCCATACCCTCGTCCCAAAAATAGGACCTTTTTTTGGAAAATTAAATGAAAACTAGCTTATTTTGCTGCAATAAAACTCTTATTTTGGGAACGTGGAGTAATATTTAATATGTATTGCTTAAATAAAGAACTGCATAAATGTGTGTACCATACAAAAGCTTGTTGTAAGCCTGAATATGCGATGAGGGGGATGAGCAGCACCATTTTAATGTCAAGCAATAAGTTGACTATGGACTTAGATGAAGAGGCAATTGACTTGAAAAAACTGCCAGATGAATCGTCAAGGGATGCCTCCACTTTTGTGCTTCTCGTACTCAGAAAGCACATGAGAGCAGTACCTAGTGTCATACTACAAAGAAATACAATGAAAAGTACAGTTGTGCCCCGGGTGTCTCTTCCTCCCTGTGGAAAAATTATAACCAAACTAATGACAAACAAAAATGAAAAAAAGAAGTTATTACAACATGCAAACATACCGTTTCCGCTCTCAACAAAGCAAGTGTAATGAGATTTCCAACGACCTGCAACATACATTCATCTAAAGTCACTTCACACACATGACTAGAAAGTGGAAACTTCACCGCTTTGGTGGGCAAAGGTGGCTTCTTCTGCTTATCAGCAGACTAAGTAGCTTTGGGCTCTCATATTTGACTGGAATTACCAAACCAAACATACTTGCAATATCCTGAAATCCCACTCAAGAGTAACATATTTGGCTGGATATAAATCTTACTAAATGCTTTCCCTTTCAGAATATCAGGCAAATAGCCCTTGTCAAGTGGACTCTAAGATAAAAGCACATATAACTGGTATTCATCAACCCACCTGGTGACTTGCAAAAACCCCCCAAAATTCTCCATTGAATTTACCAATCACAGTACCAACATGAAGGTTATGGTCATTTGCAAGACTCTGTGCTGTGGATGTAAGATATGTCCCCTGACGAAGTATAAACAACACTATATTACTAATATAACCTAAACTAGAAACCCAAAATAGATGAATCCCAAAGCTAAATCAATTTCTTGCCTGCCCAACCCATATTATTGCAGCAGCAAACCCCAGGTACAATGAAGCAGGTATCATTGTATACCTAACATGTTACTCAACCAAATCATGGAGGTTAGAAGCTTTATTGAACTTATTAAATGCGACGGAGTATATGAAATGAAGGCGGAGGTAGCGCGCGGACACACACACACACACACACATATATTATAATAATAATAATAAAGGGAAATTTACACTATGTTTGGTTCAAGGAATTTGAAAGGAAAAGAAAAGAAAATAGTTTTCTCTCATTTTCCTCGCCAAAATGAGAGGAATTTGGTTTTCCCTCCCCTTAGTATTTTTTGCTTTCTCATTTTCTTTTCCTTCCACTTTTCTTTTCTTTCCTCTCTAGCCAAACAAGAAAAATGTTTTCCTTCTCATTTTCTCTTCCTTTCCCTCTCAAATTTCTTGAACCAGACATAGTTTTAATGTATCGTTTGATTTAGTACACTGCATTATTTACCCAAAGCTAAAACATAGTCAAAAATTACTTTTGTTTTAGCTCCATTGACAATGGACACAATATAGCATAGCTTCATGATTATAACTTTTTTTTAAAGGCTGGAGCTTTACCAAGTGGGCTTCAAATTTGCAGCTATGAACAACCAATAGCCAGTAGTGCCAAGAATCAGAGCATTCTTTGACCCAAGTTTCTTAACCACAAAAGAAGCAATTGCAGAGAAACCAGTGAATGATAAGTACAATACCCCCAGAGATGTTGTCCCCAGATCTTCTGCCTGCAATAAGAAAGACCCAAGTAATAAAAGGTATAAAAAAACAATTTTGCTTGTTCATTTTGTGTATCGAACTTTTATTGGTCGGAAAGAAAAAGAAACCCACAGTATTAATAGTGCTTTCAAGATTCTGAGCCGCCCCATAAGCCAAGAAAATCAACAGGAAGGCAAAGCTCAGGATATGAACATCTCTTTCGTCGTGCTTTGGAGATCCCCTTTGAATCTGGGAATTTTCAACGAGGGGTGCTTCTGAATCTTCATCAGTAGCCATTTAGAAAACGCAATCCGCAATTCGGACCAACTATATACCCACCTTGGGTCACACCTTATGCACAGTTTTTGCAGTCAACAAAGATGCTAAGCACAAGTGGGTTCGCCGGCGTGATGATGGCATGCCCAACACCTGAAGATTCTACTTTGTCATTCACTTGACTAGAAACTTGAGAGAACTTGAGCAATGACGTCATGTGTTGGCACCAAATTTGACTACTAGTAATATTATGGCACCAAATTGGCTAATTGAGTTGGACAAAGCTACTCGTACCCAAGGTTTTTTTTTGTAAGTGTGCACCAATATTTTGTGTTGGTGTAATATTAATTTTTGTAAACACACCAATATTTTCTGTCAGTGTGAAAAATCAAAATGTTGCATGATCCAATTGAGTTTCAACCTCTTGGATATCCATTCGGATTTTGGAGTGAGGAAAAAAGTACGAGAAAAGACATGTGGTTTCTTTTATGATCATATTTGGGAGTGGGGAAAAAAGTAGGAGAATTCATTTATCCAAATTTATTTAGGTAATATTTGGGACTAGAATTCATTTGAAATCTTGTATTTTAATTATAATATTTTAGATCTTATGATTTCAAATTCCATCTTTCAAAAAAATGATTTCAAATTTTAAATGTTTATCAGAAAATAGTAGAATTGTAATTCTAGAATTTGAATTTTGAACTCGGCAAGGATGAAGACAAAGCCGGTTGATATCTCTGGAAATGTTAAGAAAATAAACTCTTTTATTGTAAGTTGTAAATTAAATGAAAGTTAGGTTTGAATTTGTAATTGAGTTTGTTTTTATTTAATATATTTTTTTATAAAATACATGAAACGATTTAGAAATAATAAAATGCTTCGTGACAATGAAATATAACAACAATCAATTTGTTAAATCGAATATTTGTCAACACCAATTTTGTAAATTTTTTTTAATAAAAATGTAATTGGAATATCAATGTTTTTTTCTTTAACAAAAATTTCTTATCATACCCCTCGATAGCACTTTGTGAAAATTATATTTCCTCGGTTGGGAAATATTTTATACACTATCCACAAATTTAAATTTTATTCTTTGTATTAGCTTATTTTTGTAATATACTCTGTATTTTTTTAAAATAATTTAGCTATATCAGTTCTTGTTTTTCAAAATTTTTTTATTTAGTTTTCGTATAAATTTTATGTATTAATTTTATATTTACAATCAAATAAAATAGATTAAAAATATATTTTCTTTTTGGAATCCGTTCATATCATATCGAAAACAAGTTTAAATATAACTATATTCAAATCAGATTAGAACCTATTTCAATTAGATAAACCATTCAGATTATGTGAAAAGAACATGGTCTAAACGATATTGTAATTGTTTAAAAAACAATACCCCTAATTATAAATTGTAGAATCTACTCCCTCCGTTCCCAATTTGATTACAGATTGTGATTTACGAGGAAAAATATCTCACTTTTTGAAATTATTTTATTTACAAATTAGTATATCGATAAGAAATCAAAATTACGTACTGTATTAAAAAATTGTGTCAAAAGTTCTACAAAACAACAGATGATTAAAATATTTTTTTTATCAAATACTTAATGAAATTGTGTAAACAAATAAAAGTTATTGACAAAACAGAAAAAATCAAATTCGAAAGGGAGGGAGTATGAAATAAGGAGTAAGAATGTGTAGTCATTTTGACGATGAATAAGTGGAATACAAGGTCCAAAAGAAATTCCAAAACAAACCAACTCCTCCACCCTCGCCCCATTTCCTCCCTCACGCTATAAAGCAGATCGCGCCATTCTGAAAAAGTGAAAAAAACGGGATCTTGCAGCCACCGCCCACCGCCACCGCCCACCGCCACCGGAGTTGAGGCGCCTCTCGAATCTCATCCAAGGCATTGATCTTGCTCCCTCTTATTATTTTAGTTTAGTTTTTTCATGTATATTCATATCGATTTTCCGTTTCTTATTTTGTTTTCCCGCTCTGGATCTTAATTGTGATGCCTATTATTGATGTTTATGTTCGTCATATTGCAGTTTTTAGGATGCCCGTTTGTTTGATTTTCTGTTTTTATTTCTTTTGAGATCAATCGATGTTTTTTGATGCGCGAATGCATAAAGTCTGAAACTTTGTTTTCCGGTTTTGTGGTTATTTGCGGGATAGGTGCGAAATTTTAGCCAGAATTCCGCTGGGTAAGAGAGATTTGGTGATTGTTTGATAGCTTTGGGTGATCGGAAGCTTGATATGTAAGGAATGGTGACTACTGCATTCAGAAAGATTGTGTACCCTTGTTGGAGGCCTTCCATTGAAGACGAAGGCCAAGACTGGAGCAGCAGAGGGGGAGACCCTAATGGATGGGTTGATGGGTTGCTTTGGTATAAAGATATAGGGCACCATTTGAATGGGGAATTCTCCATGGCTGTGATTCAAGCTAATAACGTACTGGAAGATCAGAGCCAGCTGGAATCGGGGGCACTGAGCTCCGTTGAAACGGGGCCTCAAGGGACATTTGTTGGGGTGTATGATGGACATGCTGGTCCGGACGCTGCCCACTTCATATCTAATCACCTTTTCAACAATATCAAGAGTATGTTTACCTTATTTTCACTTTTTGTCAAATTAAAGTTTCATTCGATTCCTTTTATGTCAAATGGGAAAAACATATGCAAGTTGTAGTGTGAAAAAGGGACAGTTTATTAGTCTGAAGGCTCTCTGGTGTGCTTGTACTATGTAATTCCAGCGATTACTAGCTCATTTGTTCTAGAGCATTTAAACAACAACAACAAACCTCTTAAGTCCCACAAAGTGGCATTCAGGAGCTTATTGTGTTTATCTTACTCATATCAAAATAAGTAGATGTTGACTTATTTGCACATAATGGGTGTTACGGTACTAAACATTTTTTTCGTTCAGTAGATTCAACCATTTCATCTAAATAACTCTCACCTGAATGGTGCTGAATTAGACCCCTCCTTTGGCTCTAGCACCCTTGCAAATTTTAATTTTACACTGCAAATGCCAAATGGTGTTTTTGGGGGTAACTTGCTTGATAGGCTTTTTGTGATGCAGAATTTACCACCCAAAAGCAAGAAATGTCAGCTGAGGTTATAACCAAAGCATATTTGGAAACAGAAGAGGAGTTTCTATCTTTGGTCAGAAAGCAGTGGCTTATGAAACCTCAAATTGCTTCGGTGGGGTCATGTGTTTTGGTTGGCATTGTCTGCAATGGTTTATTGTATATTGCGAACGCTGGAGATTCCCGTGCAGTATTAGGAAGAGTTGAGAAGCACACGAAAGATGTTAAAGCCATACAATTGTCTTCTGAACACAATGCAAATCTGAAATCTGTTAGAGACGAACTACACTTGTTGCATCCTGATGACCCGGAGATAGTAGTCTTGAAGCACACAGTTTGGCGCGTCAAGGGGCTTATACAGGTAAGTAGGTGACTTATTGAGAACTTTTTTCTGTGCCATCCGTTCTTATCATTTGCAATTGTTCATGATATTGTCACTTCATGCCTTCTATTAATTGATTAATTTAGAGCTCACTTGCTAGTTACTAGAGTTGTGCTAGATTCATGGTGTGAGAGTTGTGATCTTAATAACATAATCATGGAATCTTTAATTACAAATTTGCATTATTGCATATACTCCCTCTCTTCCATGTTAGTGCTCTCATCTCATTTGGCATAACAACAACAACAACAACCCAGTTGAATCCCACTACAGTAGGGTCTGGGGAGGGTGTGTGTACGCAGACCTTGCCCCTATTTGAAAGTAGGGAGGCTGTTTCCAAGAGACCCCCGGCTCAACCTGCACAAAAAATATGGTAGAGAACACAATATAACAGGATAACAAGATATAACAGGATATAACAGGATAAAGCACCAAGTACAATGAAATGAAAGTCCAGCAAGCAAAAGTAGAAGATACCAAACAAACACAACACACTACAAAAACCTCTACAGCACCGAGCTCCTAACCAGCTACTCTAATCCTAGTCCTCCAAAGGTTCCTATCTAAGGCCATATCCTCAGTCAGGGTGAGAAGTCTTAAATCCTGCCTAATCACCTCCTTCCAATTCCTCCTAGGTCTACCCCTTCCCCTACTTCCCCCGATAACCGTGATCCTCTCGCACCTCCGCACAGGAGCATCAACATCCCGCCGTCTCACATGCCCAAACCATCTCAACCTCGCTTCCCGCAACTTATCCTCCACCGGCGCCATGCCTACCTGACGTCGGATAACTTCGNATGTCACCTTTACCTTTAAACAAGGGGACCAAGAGACTCTCCCTCCACTCATCAGGCATCCTTGCTGTCCGAAAGATAACATTGAAGAGTTTGGTTAACCAAACCCACGCACCACGGCCCGCATGCTTCCAAAACTCCACCGGAATCTCATCTGGTCCCAAAGCTCTCCCGCTACGCATCCCTCGGAGAGCCCGAACCACCTCTCCCAGGCAAATGCGCCGACAATACACACGAGACGCCCCAGACTGCCCCAGCTCATCAAGAACTAGCCTCTGGTCTCCTCCCGCATTTAAGAGATCACAGAAGTACTCCCCCCAGCGCTTAGCCACTTTGGCAGTCTCAACTAACACTCTACCATCGCTCCCCTTCACGCATCTGACGTGGTCCAGATCTCGGGCCTTCCTCTCACGCACCTTAGCAAGCCGGAACAGTGTATTAACACCGCCTTTCTCCTCAATATCCTTGTAGAGGCGTTCAAACGTGGCATTCTTTGCCCTCGTAACCTCTAACTTGGCTTCTTTACGTGCCTTCTTATACTCCACTCGTAACGCCGTTCTTTCTTCCTCAACATTGCAGCCCATGTACCTCAAATATGCCACCTTCTTAGCTTCCACCTTAATACGGACTGAATCGCTCCACCACCAATCACCCTGACGCCTACTCCCAGAGCCAGAGCTCACACCTAACACTTCCCTGGCTGTTTCCCTTATGCAGTTAGCAGTCTGCTTCCACATATCTGTAGCCTCTCCGGCCGATTCCCACGCACCTTTCTCCTGCACTCGCCTGATCAACTCAGAGATATTCTCCCCACTTAGTCTCCTCCACCGGATTTGTGTGTTGCCACTCGAAGCTCTCCTATGTTTCACCCATTTGATCATGACATCCATCACGAGAAGCTTGTGTTGGGTAGTGATGTTTTCACTCGGAACTACTTTAGCATCCTTGCAGAGCACTCGATCACACCTGCGCAGGAGAAGATAGTCGATCTGTGTCGTCCCCACTCCACTAACAAATGTAGCCAAATGAACGCCTCGTTTTGGGAAACAAGAGTTAGCAACCACCATATCACTCGCTCTGGCAAACTCTAAGAGTGAAACTCCTGCTGGGTTCCTGCTGCCAAAGCCAAAACCACCGTGCACGTCCTCGAAGCCCTCGGCCGAGTCTCCAATATGGCCATTGAAGTCGCCTCCAATGATGACTTTCTCAGTCAGTGGAAAACCAACAACCACCCCATCCAAGGCGTCCCAAAACTCCCTCTTTACTTCGTCTGCCAAGCCAACATGC